CTGTGACCTACTGGCAGATAGAGTGTATTATTATGTTTGTGTGATGCAAACTTTGAGACTGATTTAAGAAATTGTTCGAAATACTCTGCACAGTGATGACAATATATACAGTAAATATATTATATAATTATATAAATTTTCTTTATTAATTATTAGATTTTCTTGCACATTTTAATAAATAGATTGATAAAATCTTTGTGCTTCTTAAAAATTTAAGACAAAATTAATGTGATATAATACTATATATAAATCATATTTAGACATTTTGACGAATTTGACATTATTACTTTATTAGGGCCATTGTCAAAAAAACATTTCGACTGTAGTTTGCCTAAACATTTTTCAAAATAAAACTTTCGACTACTAACTCTACTTTTCATCAAACGATCCCGTACATTGTTGTCACTTCAATAAAGTAAATGATTATATAACTATTAAAACCAGAAGTAATTTAAACTCTCAAGGTATATGCGTTTGGAGAATTCCTAATAATACCTATCAACGGATTTAATGAATGAAAATTTCCTTTTAAATCCGAATTGCCTAATCATTTACCCTCTTCTATGAAATTTGCTGAAGAACCTTCGAAAATTTAATGCAACTTAAAAGCAATCATCAAACAAAAGTCTAATATAATTGAAACTTCGTGGTTCAACGAAATCCATTATTGTTGTCCAATAACCAGATATTCTTTAACTTTAACAATTCCTAATTTTCAAATTATGATGACCCTAATGCTGTCTCTCGAGGAATTGGGATTTCCGTGTTAATAGAGCATAATGTATTTGGTCAATTAATTCCAATTAGTATTGATTTTGGATTGATTTTTCATAAACCCGATTTAGAAATTAAAGAAATAATTTTAGAAGTAAAGCAATGTATCAGGCTTCTTGAAAGTGGTAGAGTGGAAAAGTCAAAAAAATATGTGATGAAATTAAAAATAGATTGGATCATAAATCTAATGTAAATTTAAATTTCCTCCACAAAATGATACAAACTTAATTCGCGCAAATATCTTCGTTATTACGAGACATGGCATTGATTAGAATCGTATTAAAGTTTCCCATAAAATTAAATTCAAAGTAAAATTTGGGGCTTTCTTGAGTAAATGAAAAAAAAAGAATGTTAAAATTGAAAATATGATTGCGCAAGATTTAATGTAAAATATGTTTAACTGTTTGTTTTTATTTTTATTATTTATAATATTTATAATTTTCTTTCTTGATAAAATTTTTAATAAAAGATAAATTTAATTGGTTTTTATTTAACCTTTATTACTACAAATTATTTCGTTTCTAAAAATCGAATGCACATTCAGAGTAAAGAACCTAAATATAATAAAACTTGTAATATAAGAGCACCCCAACTATCATATAAAGATATAATAAATAGTCCATTTTCATCTCCTCATGTCCTCCCTGTTACTACTGATCATGATGCTCCTCCGCTTAGTGAATTCATGATTCTGAACTGTGAACAATGTTAACAATTTGGTATAATTTGAAAACGAGCCTGATTGGTACAAACAGACTGTCTACACATATTTTTCATTATGTTTTCAAGCCACTCGATCCAATTCTTCCTTTGATTTTGATCAATGACTAGTTAAATATTTCAAGAACCCAATCTGAATTGTGCATGTTAAATATTTATATATGCAATTGTTTATTTCCTGTTCTAAATTAGAATTTTTGAATGATTAATTTTGCATTCACACGCATAATGCTAAGCCTTTTATATTAACCCCGCCCGAATTAACTAAATTAAGACAGTCAAAGACTGTCACATTGTCACATTTTTTTAAGTATCATACATAAATTTCAAAAAAAAATAAAAAAAATTGTTCTAAAAATGTCGCAAGTATTAAGACCCCCTAAAGAATTGTATAAAAAACATAGTGAAAAGTTATCATTTTGTTATATACCAGGTCATTCTCAATTTCAAGATGGTTACTTAGGCATCACCGAATCATCTGTATCTGGTATTTTAGAACTTAACT